AATGAGACTCATTAAGGGGGTTACACCCTATCAAAGTAGCTTAAAATCATGTGTTTACCACATGATCTTGATAATGTGTAACCTCTCATTTGAGATTCAGATTCTGAGATTATTTTATTTTATTTTTTAATTCAGAAATCTGATTGGCTAAATTGACTTCTGTCACACATCGTCATTTCAAGTATAATAATAAAATTACCGAAACTTTTGCCAAATCGAATTTTCGTTTCACCTATAATTATAATGATTTTGTTTTAGATAGTTGACATGTGTAATAAGCAGATTATACATTGGCATAGAAATATAAAGAGATTTCAAATTTCCACTTTGTGCAGTATTAATCACTTCCAGGCTAGAGTATGAGTCTCTCTCAACATGGGTACATGTCATATTGGAGAAATTTTAAGACTTGAATATTTTTTGAGAAATATAATCAGCATTTTAACAAATAATTGTATCCTTTTTTAGGTGGTAAAGTCAAAACAGATGCATACATGGATCTTCCAGACAAATCGCTAATCCTGAAATTTAAAAATTTTTTAAATTTTATTTATTAGCAATTCAATTAAAACAAATAATTTCCAACCTAAGATAATATTATCAGAAAAACTTATGCCTTCAAGAATTGTACTAGTAACATTTGCTAATCCTTGGTTAGCCCAAGAACTTAAAAAAGTAATTCTATTAGTGTCTTATAACCTAGACAATACTAGTTGAAATGACACACAAAGACCTAAAAATTATACCATTTTTCTTTTAGGATTATCAATCTTAGAACTGTCAAACATAGCTGTCAACTTTGTTTGGCTTTAACTTTTAACCTTTTGGGTTATGATTAAATTGTTTCTCTGATTTTCTGTTTCTTCTAGAAAAGTCAATTTTACTTCAGCATCTGTCTTAGTGCTAGGTGGTCTGTACTTTTTCTACTTTACGTTTCCAAGCACAAGCTTGACATACTCATTCTGTACGGCTATTTTTTTGATATCATCAGAATAAAAATATTGCCAAACACCAAATTGGTTTTTTTCATTTTTAATTCTATATTAATATCAATAAATCCCGCAAGTTTAGGTTAGTAATCAATTTTTTAGTGGTACGATTATTGTTAATAGATAAATCTAAAAGTGATGATTATGATAAAGTGAAACCTGTTCCTTAAGTTGTAGAGCGCCACCTGGTGCTAATGTCGAAGCAATTCTGAAAATGCGTAAATGTGATAATTGTTTATCATTATTTTTTAATATATTCAACCAATCAATGAGAGTCATGGAAATTCTGCATATTTTTAAAATTTTCATATAAAATAATAAATATTAATAATAGGTTTATTATTTTTTACAATGTCTCCTTATTTTCAATATTTCAATACATTGATATCAAAATATTATCACATTCATGTCAACTATTGCAGACTCAAAAATTTCTGAATTAATAGAACAATCAAGAGTGCTAACAGAACCCAATGAATACAAATTGAAATTTTGGATAAAAACAACAGAAAAGTTACTTGTTGAGGCATGTACATTTTCTTTTAAATTTGAGTTTTTTTTTTTTTTGTTCAATTGGTTACATAATTAAACGTATGTTTATTTCCTTGTAATTGTGATTTCCAATAGTTTGATTCAGCCTTGGAATCAGACAACTACGAAAATGCATACAAAAACGGATTGAAAATAGGCTCGTAAGTTTCGAAGAATTCTAACCATTTCTTAAATGTAGGATAAAAAATGTATAACAATAATGATAATTTTTATCCCAAATTTTTTTAGTTTTTTTTTATATTCAAAAGTTTATTAATCGATTTCAATTCAATTTAGAATAATAATTGAAAAATTGCCTAAACATAAAGACTATAAGGAATTAATCGAGAGCAAAAAAGATCCAGCACTTAGTAAAACTTATCATGAGTTAAAAAAAGTAGGTAGCTTTGTTTATGCTATCATTTAAAAAAAGAGCTTATTGTAAAATGGATAAATCAATGATAATTTTGTTATGTATATTGTGTTTAGAAACTTCCCAGTGTTCTTGCTAATACTGAACAAATAGCACTCAAAATACATAATAAACAAGATCATTTGAATAAATATAAGATCACTGATGTGTCACCAAACAAAATCACCGAGCCTTCCACTTCATCAAATGCATTAACTTCAAGTCAAAATATCAATCAAAGCTTGGCTGAAAAAAAAAATATTGGAGAGATAACATCATCTACATCATCTTCTAATATAATTGACGAGATTCCAGTACGAAAATTATTAGAAACTAATGGTAGCAATAATAATAATAATAATAATAATGAAAGTAATTTTGATACTAAAATCATACAAGCTTCCAGATTACACCAGCTTTTATCAGTACCCGATGATGCTCAAAAAATTTTGTTGCTTGATGTTAGACACAGGAATGATTTTGATCAAGGTCATATAAAAGCAAAAAATATCATTTGTTTAGATCCTCTCATTACAAAGGATGGGTAAGATTATGCTATGTTATAATACATATAATTAATTAATAACCTGATTAATTTTTAACTATTATGATTTAATAGAATTTCTTCCATAGACATAGAATCTAAACTATTAATTTCTCCAAAAAAAGAATTGGATCTTTTCAAAAAGCGTGATGATTTTGATTTAATTGTCTTATATGATCAAGATTCTGTTACTATATCTATAACTGTCCAAAACAACCCTCTAAACAATTTGATAAATGCAATATATGAAACTGAATATGCAAAGGAGTTGAAACAATCACCTTTGTTACTATATGGTGGTTTTGATGCCTGGAAACATTTGTATGGTGAGATAGGCATTGAATGTACTGTTGATGAAGAAAATCAAGATAATCGACTTGAGAAATATGATGGTAGCTCTGTTAACAATGACTTTTCTGGAAATGGTCAAAACCATACACCAAGAACTAGAATAATTAATCATGATAAATCTAAAAGAAAAGGGGTTTTCATTTCAGACAATAATTTATCTTTGGCAGAGCATGTTAATCATCAAAGGTATCGTCACTATTTTTATTAATTTATTTTGAGATATTTAAAATTTTTCTAGCGGTTAAATAATCTATTTAAATATTAAATATTAGAATGACTATTTCTTTAAATAATGAAGTATCATATGTAAGAAATATCATCGATTATGTAAGTATTGCTGTTTTGTTATTCTAAAATAAAATCAATTATAATCTTCTAATAATAAGCAATCAAATAACAGTTTCAACAACCTGGAGGTATTTATAAAGAATCAATGGTCGGAGCTGAACATCAAACAACTCACGACTCAAATAATACTATTAATTCACCAGCCAAACCATCAAAAGTTTCATCTCATACTGACATACCTGCCCCAAACAAACCATTACCACTACCACCACCGTCATCATCAACCAATATACAGCATAAATTACCTGAAAATAAATCAACAGACTCACAAAAAGAACCTTCAACTATTCGGGGAGCTAGTAGTTTGAAACGACGTCAAACCATTTTTGATCATCCTTATAATGGTTTTACTACGATTAAGAATCCAAATTATCCATCGCCAAATTCACAAAGAAAACTAAATCCTACTACAAACACTACAAAACCACCCTTGCCAAATAAACCATTACCACCAACAGGTAATCCTAAGACGTCATCAACAACAACATCGTCATCAACATCGTCATCAACATCATCATCATATAAAACATCTCTTACAATTCCGGATTCATCTCAGACTTCCAATAACGAACAACCAATGGAAATACCTAATAGACCATCATCAAGTACTGGTCATTATCACCAACGATTTCCTAATTCAGAAAGTTCATTTTCACAGTTGGGTTCAGATGTTGGAATTTCTGGATTAAAAAACCTTGGCAATACTTGTTTCATGAATTCGATCATTCAATGTTTAAGCGGCACTATTCCATTTGCTCGTTATTTTTTAGATGGAAGCTACAAATATCATATTAACAAAGTTAATCCTTTAGGCACAAAAGGTGCTTTGGCTGATGCATTTGCAACTTTAATTAGGGTGTTATGGAATGGTCAATATCCAATTGTTTCTCCTGTAACATTTAAACAGGCTATTGGAAAATTTGCACCTCATTTTTCAGGAACTGATCAACAAGATTCTCAAGAATTCCTTGCATATTTATTAGACGGGCTGCATGAAGATTTGAACATTGTGAAAGCTAAGCCCAATATCAGAGCATTAACAAGGAAGGAAGAAGAAAGCATGGAAGATCTTCCGATTCAAATTGCATCAGTACTAGAATGGGATAGATACATGATGCGTAATTCATCCATTGTGGTTAGTTTATTCCAAGGACAATTTAGAAATCAACTGAAATGCTTATCTTGTAAAAAGACTTCTACAACCTATAATACATTTATGTATTTATCACTGCCAATTCCTAAAACCAAAAAAAAAAATAGTGTTGATTTATTACAATGTTTGAATGCTTTCGTTAAAGAAGAAATTTTAGAGAAAGAAAATGCATGGAATTGTCCCAGATGTAAATGTTTTCAACGTGCAACAAAGCGTCTTTCAATTTCAAGATTACCTGATGTTCTTTTAATACATCTCAAGAGATTTTCATTTAAAGGACCATTCAGAGATAAAGTGGAAACCTTGGTTAATTTTCCATTAAAAAAACTAGATTTAACAAGTTATGTACCACCTCCAATACCACAACCTGTCAACATTCCCGGTAAAAACACATCAGAATCTTCCAACACAGATGATGAATCAATAAATTCTTTGCAACAGGTTGGACCTTTTATATACGATTTATATGCAGTATCAAATCATTTTGGTGGATTGAATGGTGGACATTATACAGCATGTGTACGAAATGGATTTAAAAATGAATGGTATAACTTTGATGATAGTCGTGTGTCAAATTGTAATGAAGGATCTGTTAAGGTAAATTATATTATTATACATTTTTTCAATATCTTACATCATAAAATATATATACTAAAAAAACAATTGTTTTATTTTCCCATCTAGTCTCGTGCTGCATATAATTTATTCTATGTCAGGAATTAAACATTTTTTAAATTTATTCTAATTACATAATAATAATAATTTTTTTAATTTATATCATCAGTGTTATTATTTATATTATTTTTTAATAAAACATAAATAATCAGAAGCATCAATGAACGCTAAATGAATTTTTAAGTTCCCATTTTGCAATCCTAGACCAGATTCCCTCGTTACAACATGACTCCTCTGTAGTCTCTTCCCGCATTGAAAATCCATTAAAAAAAAAACAAAGGCTAACTAACATTAAAGATACATAACAACAAAACCAATATATATATTTTTTTTTTCGGGAATTACTTGCAGATGTTTACGTATGTCTCTAACAAAAAAAAATAAAATGGCAATTCTTTACAATTATTATCAATATGGCCAAAATCTTCATATTCCCATTTTTCTTATCAGATAAAAACTTTTAACTAGTGCTTTGAAATTATCGTCTAAATCGTGAATATTGTTTTGTGGAGCTCATTTCTCGAATTCGTAAGATCGACAAGTGAGATTGTCATACTAATTGAAAAAAATATTCCTATGCCGAATGTTTTCTGAACTTATACATTCGTTTTTTTCCAATATTTTTTTAGTTGCCTTTCAAACCCATTCTTTTTTTAATTCAGATGTTGATATATGTAAAGTAATAAAATAAAAATAAAAAAAAAATAAAAATAAAAATAAAAATAAAAATAAAAATACGCACATTCGATTCATTTTTTTTAATAATGTGTTATATTGGTGCACTCAATACATCTCATCACTTTTCTCCATGTTCCAATATTTTATGTAATCTATAGGTATATAGAAACAAGATGTGAAGTAAAGTAAACTCAATAACAGTCGTTGCTTTCGTTGAATAAAAAACTGATTCCAGTTTAAATAGAATGGTCAAGTGCTGTTACAAAAATTGCAACACCATTAATAACAATCTCAAATGGAAAAAATAAATAATTATTCAACAAATATTTTATCATCAAAGCCCAAAATGACTGGTCCAGAATAACATGTCATTTTGTCAAGTTTATTTATAATTTTCATTTATAACTTCACTTGGTGTTGAATAAATCATTCCGTTCTCATCAGTATTTAAAACTATTCGGATAATGAATTCTTTTTCATTGAGCCCGATATTTAATTCTCATATTGATTCTTATTAGACGCATTTCTTTGTTAATAAAATTCCATCAATAAATGCCAAATGGACCTTAATGGATGGTTGTCTTTTAAATTTTTTGTAAAGTGAGGATTAATAAACGCGGACACTAGGATTTGAGGAAAATTCAATGATAAGTGACAAGATTTTATAAAATGAATATCTCTCAGCCCTTATCTATTAAAACAATTGTCGAAGAAACATATAAACTATTTGTATTATTATTGATTAAGATGTGTACTTACTTCATTCTGTATCTATTAATAGAATTATAACTAACTTTCGTCTGTCGCAATGGAATTTTTTAATTTTATCGTCACCTTACAATAAAAAAATCAATCGATTAATGTTACACAGCACGACGGAAAATTAAATTTTATAGTATTAGTAATAGCAATAGTGTAACACAGTTTTCATGAACAACGAATCTACGTAATAACTTTGTAAATTCAAAATATATTTTTTTAAATTCTAATTCTAGAATTCTAGATATCATTTATGACTACAAATGGAAAAATAAAATGAATTTTTTTTTCTTTTTGCAAAAGATGATTATTTCTTTTTGATTCATTCCTGCACCAATCAAATTTATACTGCATCGCAGCAATTAAACTAATAATGTATATAAGGAAGAGGGTTTTTGGGAAGTTTCAATTAATAAATAATCTACCTTAAAATTAACTGTGAAATAGCAAGTGTTGTGAATATAAATCCATTCATTTATTGTTATAATCGAAATTAATAATAAATTTTCACTATCTATCCTCTTATAACGCGCACAGCCTTGTTATTTCATAATAAATAATAAACAATAATAACACAAATCATTTACATACAAGTTTACACACTACAAAACTTGATCGTAATATAATCTTTAAACCCTAAAAATGGTGATAGTTGAATTAAGCATTGGTCAATTAGCTGGATTAATTGGTATTTTTAGTGCTATCCTACCAATTATTATTTCTGTGTTGGGCACCATATCAATATTAATGAGCATCAATGATAAAATGGCAGCTTTAGAGTGGACAACTTTAAGTAAAGTGGTTGGGGCAAGTCTGCTTAATATTTATGGAACAGGTGGCCAACCTGCTTTAACAGGAATTAAATTATGGGGCATGGGATCATATAAACGTAATATACTTTACATACTTGTTGGGGTATCTTTAATAGCATTATTTGGAGTATCAGCGATTGCACCACTTGGTATTTATACATGTGAAGTAACATATGATATAACATCTGTTGATGCTGATGTTATCAATGCTGATCCATTATTGGATAGTGCAGTTAATAACACATTTTCTCTGAAGGAGCTAACAAGCATTAGGAAATGCAGTGGATTTCGCTACGAACCATGTCCAGGAATGAAGGATAGGTTTCATGTTGATGAAGAATATGCAATTGACTTTAACAGAACATACAGTAACAATGCAATGAAATATCGTCTGTTGAAAACTAGTATTAATGATAATATTTCATATCCTTCCTATGATTTTATGATGTTGAATGTGACAAGTGTGCAGAAGGAGGGTTATGGAATTATTGACACAATGGTTGTAGATCATGGCAATGGTGGACTTTTAATAAATAATGCAATAAAACCCAATTTAAAAACTAATGGGAGTCATGATTGGTCAATTCAAGGCTTGTGGTTGCAACCACATGTCAGTTGTCATTCAACCAATCTCACAATAATTTCATGGGAAAACAATACCTCCTCTTTTTCCCATGATTGGATAGGCTATGTGGTTATTAACAACACTGATATAAATTCATCAGGTATAAATCCAATTGGTGATCAAGGCCAATCAACTGATCTTCCAGCAAGAAGCATCAGGTATAGTCGTTTTATACAATCTTTTCTTATGCAAGAATTAAATATGACAGCAAATGGAACTTTTTTTGAGTCACCAGTTCTTAAAGTTAATTCAAAGGAGCCAAAAACTGTTAATTCAGGAATT